CTATAAAATCTATCTTTAAGCATCACTTGATATGTATCTTCACCTATTTCTCTTATGTTTTTAAACTTATTTGACATACATGCAACGCGTGCCTTCTGTGCATTCATTATTTTAGTCTTTGCGTAATTTTGTGTATTCATTGCATCGTAACCATATGATCCATTAAGTGAAATCTTGCAAAATAAACTTTTTCCTTTATTTCCTTCTAATTCAGCCTTTTGTCTTTCGTTCATAAATTTGTTCGCAAATTCATTAAAACAAGTGTTTTTAGTAAATGTTAAAATTGATTGAATGTCATCAATGATAAAATGAAATCTGTCTATTAGATACCAAAGATAATAAGAAGAAAATGGTTGATATTGGTTGTGTGTTGATGCTAACTGAGTTAATTTTCTCTGTTTCTGGTCAACTGGTAGATTGTTTGATTTCATGTAATTATACATAAAACTGCCAATTGTTTTTTCATCTGTGATAATATCTAAGTTTCTTATTATCGGTAAAAAGTTTATGTAATCATTAATGTATTTTTCATCAATGTGACCCTTTACTTCAGCCACGAATAAAGTATTTTTCTTCTTAATTATTCCCAGTGCTTTTGCTTTCTTTGTTGCTGTATCACAAATGATAACACCATTCAATCTTCCCGGCATATACATTTTATGGTCAGTATATTGAATGAAATCATGAGGATTAGATGAAAATGATGAAGGATATAATGAATTAAAATCAACACCAACGAAATGAGTCATAATGTTGGTGGTGTCCTCATTTGATACAGTTTTAGTTTCTGGATTATATGAAAGTTTATTATGTGCGTGATTCCTTTAAGATTAACATGTTGAACATTTGATAAACCACCAGTAATTCCATTACGGAGAATGTGATAAGCTTCAACTGAATCTAAAGTCATTGGTAAATTATTTTTTAATGCGTAATTTCTTAAATTGATTCTTAAACGTTGAACATCTTCATCTTTATTTGATTTTACGACATTGCAATAACAACACATTAACTGACAATTTTCTTTGGTATGTGGTTTTTCATTATCGATTCTATCCAATGTTGGTTTATTTGCATATGTAAACGCTTTACCACACATTTTGCATTTAGATGAAAGGATTAAATCGTGATAGTATTGAAAATCATCCATTGAAACATTATTTTTAGTATCCCTTTCTGCTTTTTCATCTTGTTTCTTATATGATTCAATTTTATATTTCCAATACTTTTTCGTTAATTCAAAACTTGATTCTATCTCTTCCTCAGGATATTTTTCATTAGGATTAAAGTCTTTATATGCTAAAGCGTAACGAATCATTGAAGCATTCGATGATAAAGAAAGATTATGAAGCATGTCAATTTTATAAACAAATGTTTCTTCAATAATTTTATCAATTGGGTCAATCATAATTTCAACATCTTTATTGCAATAATGAATAAAATATTCTAATCTATTCTTAAAGTTTTTAGCATCATTGAGATATATTTGATAATCACTATCTGATATAGTTTCTTGAGTTAATGCTGAATAAAATGAATCTTGAGTGAATGGTTCCACTTTATATAATTCTTCTTCGTAATTTTCCCACGTGATGAATTGATAAGGGAAAAAGGATTTAACACGTGATTTATTGTTTCCGAAATCTTGAGTGAATTGGTCTAATGTCCCACCCGCTATATAATTTCTGATGTCAATAAATCTCAATTCATATGGAACGTTTGTTTTCTTTACAATGATTTGCTTAAATTGTGAAGATGAACCCAGCATTGATTTTATTTTCCATTTTGCAGTGTTTAAATCACGAAGAATTAAATTTAAATCAAACTTTCCCGAATTAAAACCTATGATATTCACTTTATTGAATTCCTCATCTAGAAGTTCTTTAAATGCTTCCTTCTGTTTTTCATTTAATGTATGAGACAAAGTCCCCGCCGTTTGCGACTTCATTAATTCATTGTATTGACTTATATTTGATTTAGCAACTAATGAACAGGTTGAAAATAAAAACTCAATCCAATCAGAAATAAAAGAATCACTCGAAGTTAAGCAAAAATTCCTCGTATATGTTTTATCATTTAATTTAACCGTTGATGATACCATGAATGGTTTTAAGTAAGCGTTCAAAGTTGCACACTCAGAAAGTTGTAATTCTTCTTTAGTCTCTAATGTTTCGAAGTCAAAAGTAATATAATATCTTGTCGGTTTATAATATTTCTGCAAATTATGAGCTAATAACCACTGATATATCTTCTGTTTCGTAATATGTGGTGCATATGGTTGCTGTGTCTTTTGCAACTGAACGTCTTGAATTAATCTTCCATTATTTTCTTTACATTTCTCACAATGCTTTAAAAATCTTCTTTGGTTTTTCCTTTCTGGATCATCACGGATAGAATAAACTTCTTCTTTACAATATGGACAAACTTATAGCCGGTGAGTGCTTCAACGTCTGTTATTCTGTCAGCGTGAAGTTTTCCACATGGACTCTGTGTTAATAAAATATTTACTGTTTCAAATTCTGGATCTATCATTATTGATTCCACTAATGGAAAGTCTACCTTATTTATGTCCACGTCTTCTGGTTGAGGATCACAATAATAGAAATCAATATTAACATTTAACATTCTCGCTAATCTCTCACTTTCTGATGAAATGTCAAACCCTTCATATGCATCTATTGCTTCATTTAAATACTTCTACGAGTTTTAGGATTAACACCATCAGGAATGTTATAGAAGCGTTTAAATAACCTTCTACCTTCTGCTCTAATTTGATTATCATTCATTTTAGCTGTTCCGTTTTTGTTCATTTATGTAAAATTAAAATTAAAAATAAATTTATTTTTTAAAGCCCATAAAATGAATTAAGAACACATAAATTTTTATCATCTGCGACGTGACGAATACATTTTAATTTACTCAAGAATGCGTACCCTGATACATTAAATCTAATTCCTGTCTTATTTAATTTCACAACTTTGAAAAGGAATGTATGAATAGCTATAAAATGATGAGAAGATGTTTTATGGGTTGCTTCCATTTTTTCTGAAATAAATGAATAAATATAATGTTTATAAGTTTTCATATCTTTTATATTCTTAATAACGAATGGTATAGACCTTTCAACTTCGTCTTCCTTCGGTGCTGTTCTTTCATATGAAACATTATTGGTATCTTCAATAATGAAACCACAATCACACAAAAATTTTATAGGTTCCAATGGTTTCTTTTGATATTTTATCTAATAAATCAAAAACTTTATCAACACCTGTGCATTTATTTAAATAATAATTTGTGTAAATATCATGATCTTCTTTCTTAATCGTATTAGTTGCATATGTCACGTTTTTAAGAGCTTTTTTGAATTTCTCAGAATCGAGAGGGGGTGAAAGTAAGATACAAGGGTATTCTTCATTATCAATAAATTGTAACTTATGTTTACGTATAAATTTAGTACCTTCTTCTGAAAGTGTTTCATCTATTTCCATCTAATAAATTTTGTGTTGATTCTGAGACATAATTTTTATATCTTTCTTCATGAGATTTCTGAACTGCTGATTCTGAAGCTGGGATATTCATTAAACCCTCTACTTCATTTTCATTATATTTTCAACTTCTCTTAATTCCTTAATTTTTTCATCTATTTCATCTCTTATTTTTTCCAGTCTTTCAATTTCAATTTCATCGTATTCATCATCATCTTTAATCCGTTCTTCATAATATTCAGGGAAAACATCAGGTTCTTTTGGTTTTTCTTCTTTAGATGTGGGATATAAGAAATTTATAACATCATCTTTATTCATTTTTCCATCATAATCAAACTCATTTAAAAACTCCGCGAATTTTTGACAATTTCTTAAATAATATTTATCAACCTCATAACCCGCCTCATCTAATATATCCTTTATTTCCTCATTTGTGAATCCCAATTTTTTAACGTCGTTAGTCTTGACGCTCATTTCATACAAAATAAAAATAAATTATTCAAAAATGTAAGACATGAATTTTTAAAGTTTATTTTTTTAAAAAAATTTTTTTATTTTATTCATGAAAATAATTATTTCTAATTTCTTTTACTCGTTTATGAGGTCTTTGATTATGACTCCATTGATTCCATTCAGGATTTAAACAATGTTTAATTAATCGCGGAATATCTGACATCATCTATATATAGCTTCTTTTATAAAAGATAAAAAATAAATTATTTTAAAATTAATGTTAATTTTTTAATGTGTTTAGTATATAAATATTTTAATGCATCGTCTATATATAGATGTAACAAAAAAAGTCACACAACCCTTCCTATCCTACTACTAAAAAAATTGATGAGAAATTTATTCATAAAATCAAAAATGCCTTTATATTAATAGGTATTATTGTGCCGGTTCTATTATTTGAAAAATAATCATCATGCTAGCTTAATTTTTCAAGTCGAAAATGATATTTTTTCATAATTTTGGTCTCGTGATCGTAATAATCTCTCAAAATTTCAAAGAATGCATATAATTTTTTGAGTTGATGGCATAGATAAAGATTTTATTCCCGATTTTTACAGTTTTTGCTGTTTTACCTCCCATAAACTAATTATTTATTTGAGCAATAACCCCAAGCATATGTTTACCTATTAGAATTTAGCAATCATCGTTGATAAACAAAATAAAGAATAATATTGCTAAAATAAAATGATTATCATGAAATTCTTGCCATATTGCATAATTCCTAATGGAAGTCTATATTTTATTGCATATAAATTCAAATAGAATTCAATTGATTATATTTTCTTTCATAAATAAATTAATTGTAAAATAGGCTGCAACACTATCAATAATAGAATTTGTATATATAAATAAATTTGTAAGAAAAATTGATTTCAATAGCGTTTCAATTCAGAAAAGTAAATTCCCATAATTTTTCCTTTTATTGTAATTAATGGTAATAATGCAGTAATTTTCATTTTAAACATTTTTCTATACAAATATAAATATAAATTCTTTCTTAAAATGCTACTCCTTCTCCTTCAGTACTCTTGGTGGTTGCAAAATCAAGGAGTTAACGGTGGACTAAAAGGAGAAGACATAAATTGGACTGATAGTTACAGCACAATTCAAGGAAAAAACACAACAATTGTGGTTATGTCCGATGGAGCCAGATTAACACATTCATCATATAGTAATCGAACAGATCAAAGCGAATTTTATGATATATTTGAAGGATTGCCATATCAAGAAAATTCAGATTGCACAAACAATAATATTGGAACGGCATCATTACAATTAGCCGCAGGAAATGTTGTTAATGATACAAATCCTATTACGCAAGGTATTGCTAAAAAAGCTACGGTATTTTCATATTTATTCCAAACAAATGGCTCTCTTGAAGAATCTTTTCTAAACGTAGGTTGTAAAGGAAGTAACAAATGGGATGTTGCTATAGTTCAGTATCTAATGACTAACTGTGTCGATAGATTTTGTCGTTACATTCAACCGGATGTATTTTCAAGGCATGTTTTAGATGAATGCCTATATAACCCTCCTGCTGATAATTGGGCTCATCCAATTGTTGTCCCAGCGGGAGCAGGTCATGCAACTGATCCCCTCTTTTCGCCACCAGCAAGCTGGCCGATGATTTTCACTATCGCAGGAGTCAATCACAGGGGTCAACCTTTATGGCACGGCGCTGAAGGTGCAGGAGTATTCATGTGCTGTCCAGCATCAGCCGAGGCAGCAATACCTGCGGCTGGTTCATGTAGTGATACTGAATACATTTCAAATTTTTCTTCAACAAATGCAAGTGCTGCAATATTTGCAGGTGGTTTATCAGTGCTGTTATCTGAGGTTCCGACATTAAAACTTGCAGATCTCTTCTTCATTACTGCAATGACTGCAGATAAGAACCGACCAGATGGTTTGATATGGAGAAAGAATGGATTTGGTTTAAACTATAATAAAAGATCAGGATTCGGACGCTTGAATTTAGGAAGAGCCTTAGATTTGGCGAAAAGATGGGAATCTGTAGGAGATTTCTATCTATGGAAGAAAACTGTACATTACAATACTCTTTTGGATGAAGGTATATATAACATTACATTTGATATGGATGATTTGGAAGGTGCAGCAACTCTATCTGTTTTCATTGAAATAACTGCTCTTAAATTATCTTTTGGATCGCTCAACCCTCATTTAGTTAGTCCAAGTGGAACAAGATGCGAAATCAAAATACTTACTAAAGGCGATAAAAAATTAAATATTGAAATTATGGAATTCAATACAAATAATTTTGTTGCCGAAAATCCAAAAGGAACATGGACATTGTATTTTATGGAGTCTGATCATGCGGCTCGAGGTTTAATCAAAGATGTCACTTTGAATATATTTTATACAAAAAAGGCTCCTAAGGCATCAGATATTTGGCAGAGAGAGAATTGTGCTAATTCATCGAAGCTTCAAAAATCAAAGATAAGATTCTTAGCGCAACCACCGGTTCCATTCGAAGCAGGTAAAAAGTTTTCAATAGACGTCCAAGTTCCTGACGAACAGAAAAATATCTACTATATGATATACCTTGAATCAGAAGACCCGAACAAAAGAGTTATCTTCGATACATCACGATTCAATGAAAATTACACCAAAATCGAAGCCGATTTCATACCAACAGTGTATGCAAATGGACTGAAGATGAACTTGCTTGTTGAATCATTGAATTTTGAAAAGGGATTTACGGGTAGAATTGAACTGAATTATTCTAATCCATATTCGCCTGGAATTATTACGCCAAAGAATGGAACATGGATCACTACTAAAGATATAAGAATTGAATTAATATATGCGCTCAATCTAACCTATATAATTGATGAAGGATATTCAACTTCTGCAGCATTGACAATTCTAAACGCAAGAAGTCATATTATATTAGATCGCAAATGGTTACGAAATCTTGGAAGAATAGTTTACTGGAATGATTACGCAAAAGACAAAAGTTTTATTATGCAAATTTCTCCATCATCAAGTTTGGTCCACAATATAACGTTTAAGCCAATGGAGATATACATGTTCATAAAGGAGACACCAGGAAAATATCAAGTAGAGGGAAATATTATTCCGCTCATAACAATTGTTGTTATATGTATAGGATTAGTCATTCTTGTTGTTGGCCTGATATATAGATCAATTGAACTTTCTAGGCATAAAGCAATTGAGATTGATTCTGAATTAATAATTAATTTGCCCCATATTTAAAATATAGCTTGCATATGTAGAAGAAAAGCTAATTTTGAAGTACGCCCGAAATCCACCAACAGGATTTCGAGCTACTAAAAAGGTACTTTTAAATGTGATTTTTTTTATAAAAAATTAAATTTATTTTAAGATCAGACTAAAAACTAATTTTATGGAAAATCTATATCGACAAATTTATTACTTATTGGGTATATAGATTTTTTGATTATGGCGATTATGTCTGATATGCTTCCAATAAGCCAAAACAGTGTTTTGGGAGTGATTAAATACAAAAAAATCTGGCGATGCTTTACGTGGCAAATGGTCGAATGGTTATTACCCCTTACTATTGGGTACCGGGGACGCTAGTTCGAAACTGATGCACTATATTTTTTTACAAAATGCGTTTATTAGGACAGGGTAAAGAAAGGTTGCCAATATAATATATTTAAATAAATACAACTAATCTAGCATAAAAAACTATTGAATATTTGAATTCAATAAAAATTTATATAAAATACATGTAAAGCATAAATTACTATATAAATCAAGCTGTATTTTGTTTTAAACACCGATTGTTTCATATAATATATATTCAACTCAAGTTTCTAATTAAGGATTTCATATAAAATTTAGCATATGATCAGCAACAATTAAAATTAGTATTACAATTAATAAATTTAGTATAAAAACATATAGATTTAGTATAGATTTTATAGCTGTAATAAAAGAACTATTATAAAAGAGTAATTTACTGAAATGCACCTTATATTTATAAACAAAACTTATAACGTGTTAGTTACATATAGAGTTGAAATTCATAGATAGCATAGAGAAGTTGGGATCTTGGCTTAATGGTCATAATATAACCAAATTAATTCAAAATTTGAAATTTTAATATTACTGTAACTATAATATATGGATATGTTTTATGAGATCATAATAAATGACATGTTAATGTAAAATTTAGAATAAAAAATTATATTTTTTTTAAAAAAACATTGTTCATGAGTGTTAATTGGAGAAGTAGTAAATTAGTTCAGTTTGCAAGTGATGATGGTTAATCTAACTATAATTACAATCAATTTTTAAAATCTTTGATTTATTTTGGTGATAATTAAGAGTGCAGTTGTTCTATTTATAAACTATTTACTATAGACGGCACTGGTGATAATAAAAATCAAGCAAAAGCGCATCTGCTGTTGCTCGACTGCATAAAAATTGTAGTTAAAATTTGAATACTTTACATAACTCATTTGTAAGGTAAATTAATATTATTAATTTATATTAAGAACAAATAAATATGAAATGTATTTTTTTCCAAAAAAAATTAAGAAAAATGCCATTTTTATCATTGTTGTTAATGCCCCCTAATTCTTGAATGATTTTCGGGAAAAATAAATACGAAAAGAGAAATCATAGCTGCCAGACAACCATTATATGAAATTCATTCAGTTTACAAAGTTTAATTTCTTTCCACAATAGTACATAATATAGTAGTATATTCGGAAATATGCATGCTCGATATCTCCAATTCACATCTCATGCATCTTATCGGAGATTAAGTAACTTTATCTTGAAACTAGAAAAGTAATTAGCAAGTAGAATATATTAAAAATATAATGTTGTTTTATATTGATAAAACCATAAGAATGGCTATTCTAGAATGAAATTTTAGTACCTATATTCAGTGAAAGGTTTATTTGTAGTTGAACTTTCAAATGAAAACTCAAGGATCCAAGAATTGAATTGCATTAACAAACCAATAATGAAATATGATATATACATATATATTTTACCCATAAAAATAGAATTAAATCGATATTTAACTCAAATTGTCAAAATATCAACAAAATAATTTAAAAATAGATATATATAAGAGAAATATGTGATTTTGGTGTTTAAAAAAGAAAAATATTGCCCAAACAAGTGTTCTAGCTAAAAAGGAAAAATGCATTATTTCATATTTCAATATCAATGTTAAATATTAAAATAATCTGCCATTATTCAGACAGTTAAAAAATAAATACACTATAAGTTTAAGCTTTAGCTGTAAAATAAACAGTAATATTAAATAAACATTATATTATATAGTCGGAGCGATTCTATATATGTACTCTTATGCCAACTAGTTACAACCTAGTAAAATACATGGAAATATTGTAATATCCTAGCATTGCTATCGAGAAATCAAAAAATATAAGCAAAAGTCATCTTATATTTAAAGATTTTTCAAGAGCTTTGTTTGGAAATTAGTTCATTGGAAGAAGTATATAGATATGAAAACCCAAAGTATTAAGTTCGATAATATATAGTTTTTTTTTTATTTTAAAATTGAATGCATACAACATTGCTCCTCTGGAGTGAATTAATTAGTTCCAACTTTTTCAAGATTCTACAGTGTAATATGCTCCTTGGAATGTCTCTTGCATGAATGTTTTTGTTTACCATCTAAAGAATTAAGATTTGAGATACAATAATCTTTGGAAAAGTAGAGGATACAACAATAAAGTATGTTCTTTCGATACATGATATCATTTTGTTACAAAAATATTCTGACTTACTCATGATTCAAAAAAAAGGTTGCAGACATACTAAAATGTTATTTATGTGGCTTGTATTTACTAGCATATGTAATTTGGTGCTAACGTATACCATCAATTTCATTATAACACAGACATATATATTACTATTAGAATTTTATTTTAATTCAATGATAAAATCAAACATTCCTTTTTGAAAATCGTTCTATCTTGTTATTATCTTTGAATGCTGCATCAAGAACTAACAATTTACAATTTTTATTCAAATTATAATATAAAATTATAGCATATTGGTTTTCAAAGTATGTTTGCTAAAAGTAAAAAAAAAAAAAAAAAAAAAAAAGGTAGTGGGGCTTCCAGGCACTTCGTGCCTTCTAGCCCTGATGTTGATGTTTAGTATAAATGAAGTTTTTATTCGGAGGACTCTTCTTCTTCCTCCATTGCTTCTGGGAAGAAGCCTTCTTCTGGGTCGAAAACATTATATAATGTGTCGCTTTTCACAAATTATATATGTTTTCATGTTTTGTCACTTTTCTGTCACTTTTCAGGTAAAAAACATTTTTATTATTATATATAAATGAATTTTACAAAACCTCCGTTACCGTTCTTTGGAAATAAGAGTAAATGTAAAGATATTATATTGAGAGAACTTAAGAAACTACCGAATGGTCTAACATTTGTAGATTTGTTCGGTGGAAGTTTCTATATATCCCATTTGTGCCATACAATATTCCCAGACTCAAAGATTATATGCAATGACTTCGACAACTATATGGACCGTCTCAAACATATTCCAGACACAAACAATATATTGAAAGAGTTAAAAGAAAAGATACCTATAGGTAAGATGGAACGTATACCATTAGATAACAAAAATATTGTGAGAGAGGTTTTGAAAAAAGCAGAATATATAGACTGGGATAGTATATCTGCTAGACTATTATATAGTGGTTCTATAAGAGTTCATGACATTGAAACACTTATGTCAAAAGTTTTATATCTTAACTATACAAATGTTTTCAAAGAGGACATAGAAAAATATATTGAGGGTATAGAGTTTGTGAGATGTCATTGGACAGATTTGTATGAAAAATATAAAGACAAGGAAAATGTTTTCTTTATAGTGGACCCGCCGTTCTATAACACATGGGATTTTCAATACCAAGTAGACTGGACTTTGAGAGACTCTTTAGAAACTTTAGACGTTTTACATAACTGTCCATGCTTTTACTTTACATCCGATAAAAGTGGTTTGGAAACCGTTATGAGATGGTTAGAGGACATACATGACTATGAGTTTATATATGACAAGATAGAATATGAGAGAGGTCCTATAAACTGGAGAAAGTGTCACAATAAAGAAATTTTATTAGTAAGTAAATGTGGTTTGAAATAGGACTACTTGTTTTAGGTTTTTTCCATTGTGTCATTTATTTATTTGACGTGGCAGAAAAGTACAGAGAATATGAAGATGAACCAATGCCTGCAAATGTTCAGTATATGTACTCGTAAGAGATATTTTTATCTAATATTAAATGGACGCACAGAACTTAGCGAATGCACAGCAACCTGGACAACCAAACCCAGAGAATATTCCAAATGAAGTTAGAATACAAACTGCAATGGCAAACTATGGTCAAGTGCCAACAGATGTACAAATGCAAACTGCCATGTCAAATGACGCTGCGTTAGGTTTGCCACCATGGTATGCAAATATGAGATGGAAAGAGTTTTATACAAACCCTGAAGTGGGATATAAACAACTTTATGCAGATGACGCGAACACAGGAGTTGACCCAGAATATGTTTTCTACCAGAGGAGAAACAGAATGTATGAGCTCCAGTTAAAGAATGCTATGGAACTCAACAGGAAACGTAAGAGACTAGGCGGACATTAGATTTTTACATATAGTAAAATGGGTTTCTTCAGTAGTATTGGAAACTTCTTCAGAAGAGTTGGAAGAGGTATATGGAATGGAATAAAAACCGTAGGAAGAGGAATTTGGAACGGTGTCAAAAATATTGGTAAAAGGGTAGGTCAG